AGCGCTGCAGAGAGAGTGAGCAGAAGGGCAAGGGGCCGGGGCAGGGGCAGGGCCAGGGCTCCATTGGACATGCGTAGCAAATTATGCTCATTATGTGCCACAAAGAAATAGTTGAGCTCATGGCCGAAAGCTCAGCGACAGACCCAGCTAAAGCCGCATTCAATTTGGCAAAGTTTTTTGATTTGGGTACGAAATGCAGCAGCAGCAGCAATGGCAGCAGCAGCAGCAACAAAATCAACATCAACATCAACATGAACATTTGAATCGTCTTCATCAAGATGTTGTGTGTTGGCAAACGCTGGGGCATCTTTGTTTTCTTTTGTTTTGTTTTGTAGTTTTATTTGGGTTTTAATGCTCAAACTTTTGCCAGAAATTTGAGTTTCGACTGCGGCGGCCTTTGTATAATTTGATTTTATTTACACTCGCCGCAATCCTTCAATTTGCACTCACATGTCAGCCATTCAAAGTGCCTCTGTGTGTGTGGTCAGGCTGCTTGTGGCACGTGGCCACGCTTCAGGCTTGGGGCTGTTGCGTTCCCCTAGTCGCTCGGCCCAGTCAGCCCAGCTGCCAGCTGCCAGCTGCTTTGCCAAACGACGTGGTTACACGCCATGTGGGCGTGCCCATTTGAGCTCTGGCCGTGGCACGTAGTCCAGAGCATTGCCACACGCCCGGACATATTTTTGGCAGTTAATTAGACTTATGGCTGAGCTATTTTTAAATGCCTCCGCCGGCAGACCAATCCCGAAATCCCAATCCTGTCTAATGAACTAACCACGGACGGCACAAAGTTTCGACTCTGGCCTTCAAAATTCCATCTTTAGACTTTTTGCGCAACTTCTGCACGCTCCGCAAGCACCGCAAACGCTTCAACAAAGATTACATTAAATGCAAATTCAATTAAACAAAAACAACAAATTCCTCAGCTCAGCCATAAATAAGCTTCTCGGCATTCAATTAATCCGCCAATCTCAACGGAACTCAAGCCAGACGCAACTTTAAGCAGCTCTGGCGTATGGAAAAATGAAATCTGGAAACTATTCGCTGCTTAGAAAGGAAGATAAAAAGAGAGAGTAGCTGCAGAGATGTGCAGAGCCAGAGAGAGAGACAGAGTTAGTGAAGAGCTGAGTGAGAAAGAGACAGAGCAACAACAGAAAAGCTGAGTGAGGAAGAGACAGGGCGAATAGAGAAGAGAGGGAGAGAGGGAGAGGGAGGCAGAGACAGATCTAAAAGAGAAGTGATGAGTAAGAGGGAGACAGAGCAAATAGAGAAGAACTGAGTTAGAAAGAGACAGAGCGAATAGAGAAGAGGCGAGGAAGAGAGACTCACAGCAACAAGAGAGAAGCTAAGTAAGAAGTCTTCTGCATAGCACAAAAGTTGGCAAAGTGTGTGCCAAGGACTCCGCCTAAAGATGATCTTTAGCTGCATTCACTGAGTGGCAAGTGGCATCGTTGGTGCGCCCTTTGACGCAGACGAACGACTTGCCACAGTGCATATGCCGCTGCTGTCGCAGCAATGTAAATTGACATTTAGAAAAGTTTTTGCCAAGCTCATGGCAGAATCTCACCTTTTCTATATAGTCGCAAGTGAGGCCCTAGCAATTAGAGCAGACACTCGAGGCTATCAAAGTTTTAAGACCCTAAAACCACAAGACACACAACAGCAACAAAAACAGCAACAACAACAAGTAGTAATAAAAGGAATGACACGTGCAACGTGTTCCATGTCCTGGGGGCGTGCGAGTCCAACGAGAAAGCCTTCAAAACACATTCGTGTTGTAACAAGGCCTGAATGGAAGGCAAACAGCTGCAGAGGGCGCAAAGAAAGGGAGAGGAATAGCGGTGAAGAGCGACAAAGACAGAGAGATCGAGTGAGAGAGAGAGGGAGAGGGGAGAGGTAGAGCCTCACAGGAAAATGAATTTATTCGCAATGAAATATTTCTTAATTAATATAATTATATATCAAATAAATCAGTCAGTAGAGGAAATTGCAGAATTCGAAAACATTTGCAGTCGTAATAGCATTAAAATTGCACAAATTATACAGCCACTGCGCAATTGACACACGCACACACTCACACACACACACACACACACACACATATGCAGTCAAAGTAAACAGCGCTACATATTCAACGCGAGGCAGCTTCAGTTGGCGGTGTTAAATGTTGATAAACAAATTCCAAACACAAACAAACAAATAAACGAATAAACAAATGCTCACGCACTAGCAGCAAAGAGGGGGCGAGAGGGGCGGGGGGAGGCGCAGCGTGGAGGCTGCTTGAACACTCTATATGTAAGCGTGTAATTGGGGCTAATTAATGCCAAATCGGATTGAAGCCAGTGACAAATTGCGTGGAGATGCAGTCGAAATGGCAGCGAGAGCGAGAGAGAGCTACAAATGTTATTTCTGGAACAGCAAATCTGAGTTAAATATGCAAAAGTCGAACAACGAATTGACAGCAAAACCTGGCCACGGCCGCTCCAGCTCCCCAGCCATTCGAGAAACCCGCCTGGCTGCATTGGCATATGAAAGGCTGCCACAGCAGCAGCCGTAATCAGCTGTAAGTCTGACCGAAACAAACCCTAACAATTCCAGTTGGAATTATGGATGCCAATTGGAATTGACTTCTTAAGCCAATAAAAGTGAATTTGTTATTCGAACTTGAAAGTTAGAGTCGATATGCGCTTATATTTGAACTTATCTGTAACAGATGCGAGCGTGCTTCAAGTTTCTTTCTGCTGCTTGAAGAAGTTGTTGGTTTTGGTGATTTCGCCATGAAGTTGCGCGTATCAAGTGGAGGCAACAAACTCTTAAGGGTTTCAGCTGCTTAGCGGCAGGGAATACACACACACACACACACACATTGACATGCCGTTACACACACACACACGTCTAAACTCTATCTGCGTGCAAGCCATAAAAACCAGAAGCTCAATTATCAAAATGCTACGTGTGCTTTGTTGTTTGTCTGTGTGTGTGTGTGTATGTGTGTGTGAGCGAGTGTGTATGTATACGTGTATGGTGACTATTCTATAGCCAGTCGCCTCACGCATTTCCATTCCTATTGTCGCCGTTGCCAGCTTTGTCCCTTTAGGTTCTGTATCTGTGGTCGCAGATAGATAAATTTATATATTTTATAAACTGCTGCTGTTAAAGCTGACTGAGAGAGAGAGAGAGAGAGAGAGAGAGAGTGAGTGAGGTGGAGAGATGGAGAGCAGGTCACTCGAAAGGTCAGAGCACCTTTAGATGCCTCTGCCCATGCATACAATCTACATAAATTGAAAGCGTTTGCTTCATGTCGCTGCTAGGTAACTGTCATAAGCCGGCCAAAACTTTAAATAGGATCGAAAGTAATGTATTTATGGAGGAAAGTGCTCGATTCGTATTAAATTTGCATTTAAGTTGGGGGAAACGGCATTTGATTCACTCAGACGATCAAATAATCGATTGGGGACAGTTCAGTTGGCGCCACAAATACACAAAGACACAAATACGGGAATAAAGGCGTCTGTCTGTTCGCCGCTCGCATGGCAAAGTAGTTTTTCAATGCTCTCGCCAAAATGCCAATACATTATAAATTATAGTTGGATTTCAGTTGCTGGGGCTGCCGGCTGCTAACGCTGCGTATACGCAATCTGACAAAGCAGCAGAAAAGCCAGGCAGCCGGGCAGAGGCCGGGTGCGGGAGCGGGTCCATAATGGCGGCGACAATAGAGAACAGGAAGCAAATAAACGCTGTAAAAATTCTTGAGCAGCTTACGTGTTACATTATGTATATCTATAAGTGTGTACGTGAGCTGGTCTATGGCTGTCTGTGTGCGGGGGTGTGCGGGCGTGTGTGTGAGTGAGGGCGCAGTCGTGCGTATGTCTTTATATCAAAAAGTTTTTGCCACTTTCTTAGCGCTGCTCAACTTTTGTTATGCTCGCTTAGACCCAAGCTGCGCGTCTATCCCCGTCGCGTCGTCTCGCAGCTCAGCAACATTTTTCCTTACATTTTTCTACGATGCTTTCGCCTGGCTTTCACTTTCACAGCTAAACTTTTGGCGCCGTGTGTGTGTGTCTCTCTGTGTGTAATCTCAAATATTTTGCACTTTTTGTGGAGTTTGTTTGCCTACTTTAAATATAAACCGATCGGCTTTCTATTTATTTATCCCAACATTGTCTGGATTGCTGGAAATATGGATGCCAGAAGATGTCTGTGTGCAAGTGTGCGTGTGCGTGTGTGTGTGAGTATGTGTTTGTATGCCTGTCAGCGTCACACACACACACCAGGCCCGATCATCCTTTGGCAAAGTTGCCTCTTGCCTTTTTTTATGTGCTTTGTGTGCTACAAATTGTTTGGCTTTCGAAATTCCTTGCGTTATTGTTGAGGTTTTTATGGACTTGAGTGGGCGGCACTGCGAGGGTCGTAGCCGCTGCAAGTAAACTGAAGCTCATAGATGCGCGCCGTAAGATAGACTCGAAAAACTAATTTGTAGCTGAGGCACGAAAGAATATTGTTATTGATAGATGACAATGGTCGACAGCCGTCCAGGATTTATGTTTGGCTACCTCGCACTCACGCTCACACTGTAGAGAGCGTGGCCTGAGTCCTCAGCTGTGAAGCAATGAGATTATTGCAAGCAACTCCCAGACACTCGGCTGGCAATTGGAAATTAAATTGCTTTTCCATATGACACTTAGGATCAAATTGACATCGTTAAATGTATTTGTGCTGGCTGCGATAGCAATTTCTATCTGCAAAATGGAATCCATTCATCTTTGCCGCCCTCTGTCCAACAAAGGACAACCAATAGAAATTTATGTCTTTCAAAGAGGAATTGTTACTCACTCAAATGATGCAAAAATAATAGTAAGAAATGACCTCTCTGCCATTCAGGCCAAAGATATGTCTGCCAAATTGATTTAAACTTCTTCGCAATGAATTCAATCTGATTCTCAATGAACACATATATATATATATACATATATTTTTATGACTCATCTCATCTCTCGTTACAGGTGAATGGCGCATGGGCATTGCCTAATGTTGTTTGTGATTTCTATATAGCCATGGATGTGATATGCTCTACTTCATCGATATTTAATTTAGTCGCCATCTCAATAGACAGGTGAGCCACTGCCCCAAATACCTGTCGACGGTGCTGGCTGGCATTTTGTTAACATTCCATCTTTGCATGCTGCAGATACATCGCTGTGACGCAGCCAATAAAATATGCAAAGCACAAAAATAGTCGCCGCGTTTGCCTTACGATACTATTGGTGTGGGCGATATCGGCTGCCATCGGGTCGCCGATAGTTCTGGGCCTGAACAACACACCCAATCGGGAGCCGGACGTGTGCGCCTTCTACAACGCTGACTTCATACTCTACTCCTCGCTGAGCAGCTTCTACATACCGTGCATCATCATGGTCTTCCTCTACTGGAACATATTCAAGGTGAGCCGCGGGCTAATCAAAAACGGATTTGGATTTGAATAGAGATTGGATATTTATGCAGTCTGCTGATTAATGCACAATTTCCCATTGAATAACCAACTCGGATTTGTTTACACACACTCATTAGCCATGGCCTCGTCAAATGAGCTGCGAGGGCCCGAGTGAGCGCTGCTCTCTCTGCTCTTGCTGCTGTTTTTTTTTTTTTTTTTTCGTTTTTATTTCTTTATTTTGTTGCAGCTTATTGTCTTAGACTCTATAGCGCATTTAGCTCTAAACCTTAACTAATGGGAGGGCAGATATGCCAATTATTCTGCACTTGTAGCTACTATCTTAATTAGTTCTAATATTGTCTAGAGGATGCAATCTCTTCAGTCTTCGCCTATTGTTGTTTATAGCCAGGTTGCTTGCGAGATGGTTAGGATGCGCTGCAAGTCTGTCCGCGTATCTTGAACTGTGTCGCCCAATGAGTTCAGCAACTGTGGGAATTGCTAAATCCCTATGTAAGACTGAGTTTCTTACAAACCAGCTGGCTCCAGTCCATCTGCGTAGTGCTTTATTCTGCAGGGTCTGAATTTTGTTCCTTGTAGTCTTCGCCGAGGAGCCCCATAGAGAGATACCATATACGAAGGTTGGGACAACTATTGCCTTGTAGATGGCGGCCTTGCTGCTGTAAGACAACTTGCTTGAAGCTCTCAGCATCCAGTCGAGGGTTTTTAGCTTGCTTTTGCATTTTGAGGTTACTTGACTTATGTGCGCTTTAAAAGTCAGCCTTCTGTCAAGAGTGATACCAAGGTACTTTACTTTTGAGGCTTTGGGAATAGTGGGCCCCAATGCAACGCTTGGGCAATCTCCTCTTCTAGTGGCGAAGGTAGTATGTACAGACTTTTGTGCATTAATGGTGATACACCACCGTTTTGCCCAGCGTCCGAAAGAGTCCAGATATTTTTGTAGTGAGTCTGAAGCTTCTTGCGCAGATACGTGACGTGATAAGATGGCGGTGTCATCTGCATAGGTCGCTATGAGTACTGCATCTGTACTTCCTATATTTGGCTCGGGAGTTGGCATATCTCCTGTGAATAAAGTATAAAGTGTTGGGCCTAGAACACTACCCTGTGGTACTCCAGCCATAATTGGTCTAGTCAAGGATACTGCTTGCCCCCTTGACACTTGGAAGGTTCTTCCAATAAGGTATGAGGATAGCAACGCGAAAAATGGGGCTGGAAGGGTGGTCCTCACTTTCTGCAGCAGTCCCAGGTGCCAAACTCGATCAAACGCCTGTTTGATGTCTAAAAAGACGGCAGAGCAGTACATCACACTCATTAGCCATGGCCTCGTCAAATGAGCTGCGAGGGCCCGAGTGAGCGCTGCTCTCTCTGCTCTTGCTGCTGTTATATTGCAAGCGCAGCACGCAGAACCGTTACTAATCAATTACCATCTACTTCTCGTGCCATTCCTCTGTCTCTCTCCCTCTCTCTCAGGCGCTGCGCAGCCGTGCTCGGAAGCAGCGGGCTGCCCGCAAGCCGCATCTCTCGGAGCTGACGGGCGGCAGCGTAATCGAGAATATTGCACAGACCCGGCGACTAGCCGAGACGGCATTGGACAGCAGCCGGCATGCCAGCCGCATTATGCCCGACGAGCCGGCCACGAACACGGCCAGCGGCTCCAACGAGGAGGAGGACGAGAATGCCATTTCGCCCGATATCGATGACTGCCACGTCATCGTCAACGATAAGTCCACTGAGTTTATGCTGGCCACAGTCGTCGAGGAGACTGGCAAGTAAGTAACCAAGTGTCGGCACACTCACGCCAACACCCCCTGCCCCTGCCCCTGCCACTGCCCCTTGCCTCCAGCTCCAACCCCGCCCCGCCCCGCCCACTCGTAGCGAAGCTCATTGAAAATGTGCTTTGAGCACTTTTCATGTCACTGCCCCAGCCGTAAAATTGAAAGTGCGAAAGGTAACTGGGCTGAAAGGTGTGCGGGACACCTGCAACGGCCGCGGCAACAGCAGCGCGAAATGGAGTTTGCGAAACCATGAAAGGGGCGTTCGACTTTCATTTTGATAGCCATTCCAGAGGCAACAGACCGATGCCAGCAACTACGACGCAGCGTTGCTATCTGATGCGCTCTGCACCATTTCAACTGTGCAATGCGAATGCTCGATAAGAGCATTTAGGCATGGATAGTCTGAAATTTGTATATCTATTGCCATACTTGACCTCTTATAGGTCGAAATATATAGCGGAAAATGGAGATATATAGCTGATATATAGGTGATAGAGAAAGATAGATAGTTAGCGAGAGATAGAGTTAGATAGAGAGACGAAGAGATAGAGAGCAAACGAGCAACAGCCAGGGAGAGGTAGAAACATAGAAAGAAAGAAATGGAGAAAGGTTGGTAGATATATAAAGAAAGAGAAAGAGTGGGAGATAGATCATAACGACAGTTAGTTCCATAGGTGAAATGAGGTTTCTTGAAAAATATAAGAAAGGATCCTGAAGGGCACACAGCTACTTGAACTCAGCTCATGGAAACTATGCGCCTACAGGACTTCGAATGCCTCCTTAGAATGTTTCGCGATAGCTCAGATCTGGTTTCTGATTCAGCTCTAGCGCGTTAGGTAAAGCAGCAACTGTCTCGTGCTTAGTCGCGTTGGCCTATGTTAACTCATTTTAAGGCACTTACTCTGAAGTGCAGCAACTTCCAATTGAGATCTGACACTTCGACCTAATTCAGTGATTTGCCTTGTATTTGGACATTTTAAACAATTTCGGCTTGGCTCCTTGCAGCTAATGGAGTGTGCGTGGTCGCAGCTGCCACCTGGCTGCTGGTCAATTTGAGGTTCTTAGTTGCCGCTGCCACAGCCACAGCCACAGCCACAGCCACGGCCACGGCGTGTGGCACGTAAAAGATAAGCAGCGCGAAGATTGAGCGAATGTAGCTCATTGGACAGCTGCTGACACAACAAATTGGAGCACTCCCAAATGCATCCACCTAGCACTTAGTGGCGCCCGCACCAAATTGTCAAAGTAATCGTAATTGCAGGTTCTGCTTGTGCCTCGTCTTCTTTCGTCTGCTTCGCCTTCTTCTTGATGACGGGCAACTCAATTCAGTCGGCGCTTGTTCATTTAAATTCACACGCTCCGCAATAAAGTGGAAGCCCTGAATGAGCACTCAGACATCCAATCCACTTGCTAGCCTGCAGCTGTGGACGGCGGGATGGGGGCTTGGCGGTTGGGGGATTTGTCACTGTGTTTGGCTTTCGTTGCAATTGTCGCGCTCAGAGGATTCGGCCTTTTATTGACTGTGCTTTGGCGCTATTCTTCCCATTTCCATTGCCGGTCGCTGCAATTTCATCACAGAGCTCCCAATTGGCTGCACTCAGTAAAAATTTGCTTGCCACATTGCGCAAATGGGAAAATCAGTTTGGGGAATTACATGCCGCACGCAGCGCGGCCGATTGAACTTCAAAGCTCTCGCAGCTGTGGCAATTTTAATTAGTTGTGGACAACAGGCGGGGGAAGGGCGAGCCGATGGCATGGGAGAGCAGCGAGCGGCTGGCTGCATTAGTTGCTGGGGATCTCAGGGCAAGCGACTTTAGTTTCGATCAATTTTTTATTCCACAATAAGCAAGAACGGAAATAACTAAAATATTGGACTTTGGAAACTCTGGGAAACTCACTTCGAGTACTGGCGTCCCCAACACTTAACAAATTGACGAAGTCCGGTAAAGCTAGATTTGCCGTGCCCACGCAAGTGCTTGCCGGAGCCGTCCTGCGCCTTGCCAGGCGGCAGACTGGCAGCCTAAAGGCCCAGCGAAACGATGCAGCAAATTGTTAACTGTTTTGTGGTTAATGCTCACCTCCGGCTGCGGCAAGGCCATTGTGACCGAGAACTCTGTCGACTGCATCGATAGATCATTATCCGAAATGTCCGACTTTATTTTGGCGCTGTTTGAGTCGCTCCCTGCTCGGTTGCCGCTGCGACAATTCGAAGTCCACTTCATAATGTCGTCTGTTATGTTGTGGATTTCAATCTTCGATTCAGTGATCGCAGCTTTATAGTTTTCCAGCAATTCGCGCGACAAGTTCGCCTTGAGGTCTGTTGTCTCCTGTTGGGTCTGCTTGGGTATATCATATATATTTATTGGATATTATCGGATGGTCTTACTAAGAGTTCCTGCACTGTCATCGTCGCTTCCTTCAGCAAATCATTTTGGGAGCTCAGCTCGGGCAGAATTTCGTTCAGCCTATTTATAAAGCCCAGCTTCTCGGCCAAACACTCATCCAGCTCCTTCTTCTGCAGCTCCATCATTTGCTGAAAACTCCGAATTAGTATCATCAGCTGACGAGCAAGGACATTTCAGTCTATGGTACTTACATTTGCTATAACGCCAAACTTGTAATGCTCCTGGAGTAGACTCACCAGTTCAGAGTTTTCCCTAGTTATCTCCATGAGCTTATCGTCGCTAGAGGCCTTCTCTCTGTCGCGTTCCGACAACTCATGCTTCAAGTGCTCGATTTGCTTTTTGGCCTTGTGCAAATCGTCAATTTGACGAGCCACCTGCTGAGGAGAGTCTGTGCTTGTGAGCTGAACTACTCTGGGAGAGAGCCAAAGAGAGGGAGAGGGAGAAGGAGAGGCCGGGACAAGTACTCACCTTTTCTTCCATACGCTTAAGATCCTGTGCAAAAAGGGCTTCCAGTGGCTTTTCATCCTTTGACAATTCGTTTATAAATAATTGAACTTTTGCATGGAAATTAGCCCCATTTACCTGCAAGTGTGTGATGTAGCCCTCGAGCTCAGCGATTTTCGCTTGGCTCTCTAGGACGAACTCCTTTTCGCGTTCCTCGTGCTCGGATATTGCCACAGCGGCATCCTTTAGTAGCTGCGTCTTCTCGGCGATCTCCAGGCGCAGCGCATGTATCACAATTTTGGCGTCTTCCAGCTCTCTGCAAACGGCATCGCTGGAGCCGCTGGCACGCACACTGCCCTCGCCGACCCGATCTTTGAAGTGAAGCCGCAGCTTCAGGTTGAAGTTCTCATTGCGCAGCTTGATGAGCTCCTCGTCCACTTCGCGAGAGGAGCGCCCTTGATGCAACTGTGGCTTGCGCTTCGGATTGTGGTCTACAGCAAAATCTGAGCCCGAGAACAGGATTAAGTTAGGATTGGATAGTGCAGCAGAATCGAACGCAATCGAACCGTTTGGCGAAGAGTCCCTCGAAGCCATCATCTAATTTTCGTTGATCGCCAACTCCACCAATAAGTAAAAAATATATATTTTGTTGCTGAACCGATTTAGACAGTATTTAAATATAGTATTTCACGTTGGCAGACGAATCCAATTTAAAATTAATTATTTCTCGAATAATCCGCGACGGCGATCACTCGTTAATTAAATCGTGCTCCAAAAGTTTGTTAAATTTAAAAAATATTTCTTAAGGAATATGTAATGCTTAGAAGATTGTTTTAAAATATATTCCCCAGCACACTGAGGCTGCTGCCAACACACATGCGTCCGTCAGCCTCACTGAATGATGCTTTGCAATGAGATTTCCTTCATTGGGAACAAGAAGAGTTTAGGCAGATCGAGAGAATGTTTTACTGTTGTTCGACTCAAGCGAAGAGCGACACTTGCAGCTATGGCATAGCATGGCTTATAGTCTTTAACTCAGCCAAACACTCCGGCATGGCCCATAGACCAGGATCGGCTTATGGCTTAAACTTCCCTTCATGTATTCTGTATCGTTAACGTAGTCTTAATTTCAGTGAAGATTAGAGTAGTTTAGCTGATTTATAAACATTTCATTAGCATCGTCCTCAGGCGTTTCAGCCTCCAGCTTACTTTCTTATGTGATCACGCTCTCTCTTGCCTCTCGCCTCTTGCTCTTGCCTCTCGATAGCTATTGCATTGGTTCGTCCCTTCTCTCTCATGTCGTAATGCATTACTAACATATAATGAGTATCTGACACAGTTATCAATCGAATCTAGTGAGCTTAGTCTGTTGTTGAGTTCACTCAAGTGATTTGGCTCATTTAACTAAGCCACTCAAGGTCTTCTGGTTGCTGCTGCCAGAGACTATCGCCCTCTTCTATAGATTCAGCTGCAGCCAGACTGGCCTAGATCAGCTAGACCAACCGCATATATCTCGAATTTCCTACTGAATTGAACTCTTCACTTGGTTGAGCGAGTAAATAATAATTTAAAATACTTGTACTCGGGAAAATATGAGAAATAATGTTTGCTTAATACTTGATGGCCAGATCAACTTGGCAACTGGCAGCCTCAATTGGCCTGAAATATTTATGAAAATGCTGGCAAAAGGGTCGACACAATAATATAATAAATAAGTAAAAGGGTTTGCTGAATGGGCCTAGCAAATCAATTTCTAAATTATAAATGATGGTCGATAAAACATCCCTCGACATTTATTATTTATGTGTTAAGTCTGTTCGAGTGTCGTCCTTTTGATTCTCATCGGCCCTCGGCTGCGGTTGCTTATCAGTTGCATCGCGAGTCTCGCCAAGAATCGCAGCGGTTGGGCTCGGTTGGAATGCCGATGGACGGATGTTGGCCACGGCACAGCGCGAACGTTAAGCACAGTCAATTAGCGAGCTGATGGCCTCTTTAATCCAATAAGGACATGAAATGAAACCAATATTGATGGACAGATGGATGGGGCGGCTGGTGGCGGATGGCGCCTGTGCGTGAAGCGGTCAACCCGACAATCCACGGAGGCCGAGCAGACCATACTGAAAACTTTTTACCAAAGGGCTGCCGCGACCGAGCATAATTGGGCAAAAAGAAAGCTCTGTCTGTCGTGCTCTAACCGCTTGCCGTTCAATTAGTCGACACCGTCGCCGTCGCCATCGACGTCAACGTCAACGTCTACGTTTACGTGTTCGACCCGATGGACAGGCAGAGAAAAATAAATCTCAATAATTCAATTAATGCGTCACTTAATTAAAACTCAATTTTTGCTTGTTTTTAATTGACATTGCTCCTCGTTTTCTCTTGCTCTCGCCCCCGCATCGCTTGCCGCACTCGCCACACCTTGGCTCTGGATGATGCTGCTGCTGTCGACGTTGGCTCTGCTCTGTCGTGCTTTGATTGATTGCCATTGCCGGATTACTTACTTTGATTGTCATCATCATCATAATCATCGTCGCCGTTGCCATCGTCTTCGTGTTCGTCTTCTTCCACCCGCTGCTTACTTCATCCGCGTGACAGCAGCGTTGTGGCACAGATCACCACACAGCCGCAGCTGGTCGTTGCCGATCCGAATGGTAATCATGATTCTGGTTATGCAGCATCAAACGTTGACGATGTCCTTGCAGGAGTGAGCGTGGGCGCCGCCATCAGCAGCACAACGCCGCCGGACAGTCCGGTACCCAGCGGCGCCACCCTGCACCGCTCCAGTGTCAGCAGCCGGCGCAACACCGCCGAGGACTCGCCCAAACGAGGCGAGCCAGCTCTCAGGTATGTCCATAGCTATTTGACGTCGCCACACTCCAATGCGAATTCAATAGACAAGTTGCCCAAAGGAAGCCAAGCGCTCGGCTTTGTCCAGGTCTACAGATCTAGACATATTGTATTTAGGCTTACGTATTAGCCAAGTGGCATGTGCTGACCAAATGCTTTTGTTTGCTTGTTGTTCTTGTGCTTTACAGCAGCAGCGTCGCCATGAAGCCGTTGTCCTTTGTGCGCTACGGCGTGCAGGAGGCCATGACTTTGGCACGCAACGACTCCACGCTATCGACCACATCGAAAACGTCCTCGCGCAAGGATAAGAAAAACTCGCAGGCGTCAAGGTGAGAGCGCTCCGCCACCGCAATTGCCAAATTGCCGTTATTAGCTTCACTCGCGCTAATAGCTCGACGTAACAGCGCCAACTGCCAATCAGCCTAACACTAACCGAACTCTCTTCCTCCACCCTCTTTCTACTCGTATCTCATGGCTGCATGCAACTTGAAATGCAATTTACTCTGGCTTATTATCGTGACCCTTGCGTGCGTGCATTGGCGGGCCGTAGATTCACGATATACAAGGTGCACAAGGCCTCGAAGAAGAAACGCGAAAAATCGTCGGCCAAGAAGGAACGCAAGGCCACCAAAACATTGGCCATCGTTTTGGGTAAGTCAAAGCCAGCCAAATGGCCAAATGGCAAATGGCAAATGGCCAGAACTATTATCGTTACCTAACGCATTCCGATTATGATTTGCATTAATTGTTGCATATGCTCAACTGTGTTTTGCTCTGTTGTCGCTCTCTTCCCAATCTCTTCCGGTCATTAGGCGTCTTTCTCTTCTGCTGGCTGCCATTCTTCACGTGCAACATCATGGATGCGATGTGCGCCAAATTCAACGAAGACTGCAGGCCCGGTCTGACGGCCTTTATGCTAACCACTTGGCTGGGCTACATCAATAGCTTTGTCAATCCCGTTATCTACACGATATTCAATCCGGAATTTCGTAAGGCATTCAAGAAGATCATGCATATGGGGTGATTACAATCAGCAGCAGCAGCAGTAAGAACAACAACAACAACCCTAACAGCTGACAGGACTCAACAACTAAATGAATGCTTCCTTTGTGTGCAGCTGATCAATATGTAATTGCTTAACTATCGATAGACGTCAATCGATAACTCAAAACACGAACTGTGCCAAATGCAAACCAAATGAAATTGAACTCAAAGCTCGAAACTCAATTAGACTCCTAAGATTGTTCATAGTCTCAACTTTATATATACATATAAGCATATATACATATATATATGGTATATATATATATATATATATATATATATATATATATATATATATGTAGCTCTGTATATAGCATCTAAAGTTCGATCAAATCTGTTGTATGTATTATATTCCCTAGCTTAAGTTAACGACTCTGAGCTGTAGGCTAGGCACAAAATTTTTAACATTTAGCTAATGTCTAACATAAAGTCTTAGTTAATACTTCAGTATATAGACCTATTTATCGATATATGTAACTATCGATACAGTAATATATGGCAATTGTACCGTTACTTGACGTGAGACTCTTTTAGATGGTAAGAGTTGTGTCGCTCGAGTCGCGATCTAGATGGAAAAAAATGAGTTTACGTATAAACTATATGCATAAGGACATAAGTGTATTTACTTTACATATCACGCATTCAGTTTCTGTGAATTTGTACTCTACTGTACTACTGTCCCCCCTCAAGCAAATCCAACGATCGCTGAGCATATCCCAGCCACGAAGCATCCCTCTACCCGATCCCACCCCCAGTCGACTTCAATGCTGCGTTAATCATAGTTAAGAGATTAAGAAATTAGAGAGAAACTAATCAATAAACCCATGGCTAGAGCGTAGGTGTATGTCTTAGATATGTTTAATGTTAGACTAGTCCGAAGCAGTGGCTCAAACTCAGCGCCTTACACGAATTCATCGAGTGAGAGAGAGAGAGAGAGGGAGAGTAGATGGCAGAGTGGGAGAGCCAGGTAGCTAGGGAGGGCTGCCCGAGCAGTTATCGCTGAGCTATTGATTACAATTTCTAACTGTAAACCACATGATGCAGATGATGATGAAGAAGAAGAAGAAGAAGAATATGAATAAGTCAACAGTATTTCCGTTTCCTCCGTTCCTCAATGTTAGATCTAATCAATGAGCTCTGCAAGCGATAGCTGACTACTCGGTCGATAGTTTCGAACGATGACTAATGCACGCACGCACACACACGCACAATCAGACAGACGCACACTGAAACAAATGAGCCCCACACAAATATATATACACATATATATATCATAAAATGGCGCTGATTTTGACCCGACTGCTTGAGCCACATTCCTTGGTTGTATTCTAAGAGAACAACAAACTATAAAAAATATATGGATGAGAACAGTCATCCGAGATGTCATTAGCAGAATGTAAGCGCATTTAAAACTAGGCTAAGCGACAGTTAAGTAGCAGTAAGTTAGCCAACAAATACTTCTTCAGTATTGCCTGGGCCTGCCCCTCGCTACAAGGAGCATACCTATTAACCTAAAGCTAAATACGTACTTGGAAATCGGTACTCAAAGGAAAAGATATGAATATACGAATAAGTTGCATCAGGGTATATAAAGCGTAGGCGTACAAATTATTAGAGATAAGTGAAGGCAGACGCATAACCACTCTATATAAAGATATATGCATATATGAATAAATGAATATATGAATATGAATATGAATATGAATATGAATATGAATATATACACCTATATATATTCACTAATATATTAGCTAAGTATATGTAATGTGAAAACTTCATTTGAAACCTGGACCGAAATGCTCGCCCATTCATCAACTGATGCCGTCTTGAATTTGCTTAAGCTGGATCCGATGATCGGTAGATGACACGAATATACTAAAATACTAACGAACACAAATACCACAGCAACTCAAATTCAAAACGAGAAAATACTAAACGAAACTGAGACACAAATTGCAAGCGATGAGCCTTAATTTCGAACTGCTTGGAGTATGCCCCTTGCTCACAACCAAAGAAATAACCAAATGGAAACGAATTTAAATCGGCATCAAGAGACACCCACACAGCCACACACACTCACACACACATACACAATTTTGGTCCCTGTTTTCAAAAACCGTCCTCTTCATTGTTTCTATGTGACAAATAATGTAAAACTTAATGCAAAATAAAAATCTAACTAAAAAGGCAAGCAAACTTAAAACATATTCAAAGAATGATAAATCTAAAAGAAAAATAAACATATATATATATATATATTAAGAACTATCTAGTCTTCGAGTTCATAGGCAGAAGGCTAATCGGTTCCAGCTCATAATTATGGAACCCTCTAGGAAAAGCTCAACAAATTTTTATACTTTCCTAAAAAGTGAAAGCTGAAAAATGAAAATGAAACGAGAACAAACAAAATATTCAATGCATAAATAAGTGTGTTTTTTTTTGTTTTTTAATCGTAGCTAACAGTAATTCTAAATACAAAAATATTCGAGATTCTTAAAGGTGCGTTATGAGTGTTAGTCAATAGCTCTAAGTAAAATGCAAATTAACAAATTATATATATATATATACATATATACGAAGAGGAGAAGGAAGGGAGAGGAATTATTATAGAAATAGTTAAGTTCTTCCAAAGAAAACGCTTATTAGTTATAGAAGAATGGGTTGATCAAGAAGTTTCAGTATGAATTGATCCATGGAGTGGGACACGAAGATGCGCGTCGAGTTAATGATTATTTAGTAATAGATATATATATATATAATGTATATATATATATATCTTTATATATACGAGTGTTGTTCAGTTCACAGTTGCTTTCACTTTGTTTAAATTAATCCAATTAATCGATTGTTAAACTTGTTTTTGAATTAATGAAGAAGAACAGCGGGAAGGGAGAGTTTTAGGTATTTAAGATAATATTCTTAAGCGCCCTCAGCGCAATCATAATCACGATTACGATCATCATCATGATCATGATCATGTTGATGATGATGATTGTGCAATGTAACCTATAAGGCAACTGCAAAGAGGCTAAAGGAGGAGAAGGAGAAACCAAAAATATAATGAAATCAGACCTAAGTACAGTAAGACAACAATAAAAAGCACAACAATTAAACTAACAGAAGATTAAAGCAAATAAATAAATAGAAAATTATACATATATAAACGTATATATATATTTATATATATATATATATATATATACATAAATATATATAGAAAAACTGAAAATATTTTAAAGCAATGATAATGTTGACTTTTTTTTTCTAGAATCTAATCAAATCTAAATTAATTAATGTAACTAAAAACCGAATAGAATAGACCTGTAAGCGAGCGAACTAAATTAATTGCAAACTATTTCGACTCTATGCAAGCATAACTACCATAGCATTAACTATAGCAAACCAACAGAATCGCCATGAACAGCATAATGAGATCTACGGGCACGAAGAACTTAACAAGTAAAAAACATCAAATAAACACAAAACAAACATGAAAATATTTCAAACCAAACAAACTTGTTTCACTCAATTGGTTAGGCTTAGGCGGATCAGATCAAGTGGGAGCAGATGGCCCATAGAGACTTTTTCTATATCTTATAGAAGATGCCTTTTCAATATGCCTGAAGCGTTCCATTCGATGCCAGCCTCACTCAATTGGTAAGTTTTCAGCGGATCAGATGAAGTGGGAGCGGATGGCCTGATAGAGAAAGTGTCCTATATCTTTTGTATACATCTTATTGAAGACGAAGTCTCACAATTGGCCAGCTTTTAGCGGACAAGACAAAGTGGAAGGGAAGGCAGAAAATGCCTTTCCAATATGCATAAAGCATTTCATTTAATGACAACCTTTCTTCAAGCATGCTCAGCTGGAGAATCTACTTGATCTATGTCCAAAGGAGAAATACTTAGAGATAAGATAAGCTACATTAGATAGAATATATTCTGTGAGAGTTCTAAATAAAAGATGTGTGAAGCTCAAACAATATTTAAGCGATGCTCAACTTGATAACTGATGACAGAAGCAAAACATATTTGTCTTGATTAAAGAAATAAAACTTTTGAGAAATCAATGGGAAATAAAACTTTGCCGCAAATTGGAAAATTCAAGTTTCTCTTGGTTAGTGAATTTTTGGGATTTAATATGACAACATTTTTGGCATACAGGCCAAGTAGTTGTATATACCACTTACGCACACATACACACACACACACACATTATATGGCATTTATATGAGCTGATAATAAAATTCCAATAAGCATGAAAAGAAATAAAAATACTAACACGAGACACACAAAGCCATTGGCAGCGGCAACTGGGCGGCGCAAGACAAAGCTTTAAGTAACTGGTAAAAGGACGAAGGGCAAGCCTCAATGGCTGCTCAAAATCAATTCAAGGCAGCCGCCGCACCCCCGCAGAGTAACCGAAAACGTAACTAAAAGCGTCTAAATAGATAAATGCATAGAAGTTCTTGTTGTGTCCACGCCAGGCTCTGCCTGTGGCCGCCCCCTTCCCTTCATCGGCTTCTAATGGATACTTGGAGCATTCGAATTCAGATGCCACAGCCAAGGCGACGACTGACTGCGTGCGTGTGTGTGTGTGTGTGTGTGTGTGTGTGTCTCGTGTAGTTATGAAGAGACTCGCTGGATCAGTAGACACGACAATCGAATTTGTGGTTCAAATTCCTGCAAAATAAATATGTTTCAATGGGAAATTGATAACTGATATATATATATATACATATATATATATATATATAAATATTTATATATATAGATAAGGAACTATAAAGCGCAATTAAGTTGTGCCTTTGTTTGCCATTCAGTTTCGTAAGAAGTTGAAGTTTGATTTATGAGCCTCGGCTTGCGTTTCGCTCAGTGTAGCCGGAACGTACCATTTTATGGTGTGCTTAACGACCGCCCCGAGCCCGTCTTCATCATCGCGCTGTGCTGCCCGGCCATTGCTCATAAATACAAATGTAAAAAGGGCAACCAAGCAGTCGACCCCAAGAGCCAAGAAGTCCATTGGACAAACGCAATGGAACAGACGCTTCGTCAGCCCCAAACCCTGTCGCCACTTACTCATAAGCATTGAATTCCGAGAGAGCTCACCCAGCCAGCCAGCCAGCTGTGTGTGTGTGTGTGTGTGTGTGTGGGGCGTGGCTTGG